GCCACGAGTTATTTGTCTTGACGGGCTAGGTTGGGGGATGTTGACGCTCATTGATGAACGCTCACCGGTTCGAATCTCTTGGGTCGCCACCCTTGGGAGTTGGGTAGGACTGACTGGTGACTGCTAATAAGTTAGAAGTAGCCATTCCAGTCCCCCCTATATTGACGGTTTCACTTCATCATATATTACAAGTCGTTCGGTGACTGCCTGTGAGGACTCTAGATGGAGCTCTAGGGCAAAATGGGGCGAGCATGTTTCGTAACCAGTTCGCTGAGCGTCCTACTATCATCATATTCTCGATCGCAACCGTTAAAAATAAGGAACCCGTCGTGCAATAGTAGAATGTTGTAGTCAATAACAAAATGTCGCGGGTTCGAATCTCGGGAGTCGTCACCCCTGAGGTTGGGTGTGACGGCTATTAAGACAGAAATGGCCATTCCGATTTCCCTTGGCTTTGTCGATTCACTTCATTACAATGAACAATAATTTATGGCTCGGTAAGAGATTTCTTTAAAGAGAAGAAGGCGCAGTTCTGAGTCCGCTGGTGAGTGCGTCACAAGCAACCAGGGGGTAAGCGGCTGATATAACAAGTTTTATTCGTCGAAAGTTTCGAATTCTCACCAGAACTGACCGTCAGAGAGGACAGCTACAGATATAGGTGATGGATGCTCACAAGCGCGATATTTACAGAAAGCAGTTGCCATGCGACCACAAGCCTGTCTTTATTGGCAGTAATCTTTTTTGATGAATAAATTTAATACTGAATGGTCGAGAATACGCTAGGCCCAGGTAATTGAATAAAAGACGGTAAAGCGCCCACTGGGACCAGTGATTTATTTGTCTGTTTCGAACTCTCACAGGAACCAGATAATGTCTTCCGGTACTTCGATTTAAGCAACGGTACATAACAGCTGGCCAGAAATATTTCAAAATCTGTAGATTACAAAGCTCGTTAAAAGTACGAGCTAAGAATGTTTCAGTCTGCCTTAAACAGCTGGTCACGCCGGAAAAATCAGATTACAGATGTTTATCTATCCGAAAGATCGTCACAGCTGCCTCTGTAGTTCGAGCATTACAGATTCTGTCCGTCCCACGGAGAGTGTAACGCAGTGAGTGGTTGCAGTGTGGAACGCTCTGTCGGAGAATGTTCTCTCTCTGCGAATTCGTTTAAGAGTGAACACGCCTCAAACTTCTCACTCATCAGCTACGTGCTATTTCATATGGCCAGACAATGATCTAATTATACTACTCGTAATCAGTGAGTAGCCGTGTATGTTTACCCTTCCCGACTAACCGGCCGTTACTCGCTTTTTGAAATCTTCTTCTGTCTGTATGCATTTTCTAGCCAGTTTGTTACCAAAAAGGAACCTAAAGGCGTTTGCCTATCTTTCTTTCGGAGCAACCCACATTTTCCCTCTGGGCGTAGTATCAACTTGATCCCAAGCGTGATCATGCACGACCTCTAACCTCGGCTACTCCCAATTTTTCTTTAGCATCGCCCTTTCAGCTGGAGCATTCCACCGCGAAATTTACATAGAAGGTGAGCTTATTTCTTCCAAAATGCGTTATTATAGTAGTTCTACGTTTAAGTTCTGACACAGCCGTAAAATTAGTGCTGTGTGCAGGCAGAATAGGCGCTAAATTGTCATAAACCGCATTATAGCCGTACAGGTTCTCGTAGAATGGGATCTAGTATATCATTAGATGACAAGCGTTAAGCGGTTTACGCCTATTTTGATCGACCGTACCAGCCACTAATCCGAAGGAG